GGACAAGGGCCAAACGTTTGGACAAAGGCCAAACGTTCAGACATGACCCAAATGTACAGACAAGAGCCAAACATACGGACAAGAGCCATATGTACGAACAAAAGCCAAATGTTCGGACAAGGGCCAAACGTTTGGACGAGAGACAAATGTACGGACAAAAGCCAAACATACGAACAAGAGCCATATGTACGAACAAAAGCCACATTTTTGGACAAGGGCCAAACATACAGACAAGGGCCAAATGTACAGACAAGAGCCAAACGTACAGACAAGAGCCAAACATACTGACAAGAGCCAAATGTTCGGACAAGAGCCATATGTACGAACAAAAGCCAAATGTTGGGACAAGGGCCAAACGTTTGGACAAAGGCCAAACGTTCAGACATGACCCAAACGTACAGACAAGAGCCAAACATACGGACAAGAGCCATATGTACGAACAAAAGCCAAATGTTCGGACAAGGGCCAAACGTTTGGACGAGAGACAAAAGTACGGACAAGAGCCAAACATATGGACAAGAGCCATATGTATGAACAAAAGCCACATTTTCGGACAAGGGCCAAACGTACAGACAAGAGCCAAACGTACGTACAAGAGCCAAATGTACTGACAAGAGCCAAACGTTTGGACAAGAGCCATATGTACGAACAAAAACCAAATGTTGGGACAAGGGCCAAACGTTTGGACGAGAGACAAATGTACGGACAAGAGCCATACCTACGAACAAAAGCCACATTTTCGGACAAGGGCCAAATGTACAGACAAGAGCCAGATGTACTGACAAGAGCCAGATGTACTGACAAGAGCCAAACGTTTGGACAAGAGCCATATGTACGAACAAAAGCCAAATGTTGGGACAAGGGCCAAACGTTTGGACGAGAGACAAATGTACGGACAAGAGCCAAACATACGGACAAGAGCCGTACGTACGAACAAAAGCCACATTTTCGGACAAGGGCCAAACGTACAGACAAGAGCCAAACGTACGGACAAGAGCCAAACTGTGACAGCCTGTGAGCCAGGTGCCCGACGTACCCCCTGGACACACCTATTTACACACCCACTACTCACTGATTTGTCCGTGGTTCGTGGCTTCATTCAAAGTAATCTGCTTCCGTGTTCAGTCCTGGTCCTGGTTATGTATGACAAACCATCTGACAAACCATCATCCTATGATCAGGCTGCTCACTACTTAATATTGACTCACTACCTCTAGCACCGTGTCGCTCTGGCTGTCAGCTGACGTCACCATCTGTGGAGTCAGTCTAAAGGCACCAGCAGAAGGAAAATCCGGAACGGATTCCGTACTGACTGATGTGACTGACGACCGTGAGTGAATGATTTTGTGTTGACTTAAAAGTAATGTTTTTGTTTTGTACTGTGTATCTTGTTAAAATGTGTTTTTCACACTGTGTTGGTGTATTGCTCAAATGGCCCTCCAAACTGAGGTTGTTTGGTTGTGTTTCCTGTAGGCACCGGGTTTACCCCTGGAGTGCTGAGGTCTTCAGGAAAACCTGAACTGGAGTATTCTTTTTTTTTTCTTCTATTTTGTTTTGTGGGCACTGGATATGAACTGTGAATTAATCCTGCATGAACTCTGAATGCTCCACAACAGTGAAGAACTTCTGAATACATTGAATGTGCAATGAAATATTGTGTTTGTGTGTTTTCTATGATCATATTGTGTTCTTGTTTCATGCTGGGTTATTTATTTATTTATTCAATGTTGAGGGTGCATATTTTGAGTGTGTGTCCTGGTGTGTGTGTTTGACTGAAACAAACAAACAAACAAAAACAATCCTAGATGTCAGGAGGGATACCTGACTGGCACCCCTTAAAAACCAATCTCTCAAGTCAAACCGTCACATAAAATAATGGCACCCCAGACGGGACCTGAAGAAAATAAACATTGAACAGCAAAGAAGATAAACCCAGGCATGTTGTGAGAAAGGAATCATCTTTATTTCTGGAACTGCTTAAAAAAAAAACACACACAAAATGGCTGCTAATGGGAAGGACAGAGGAACAATGGAGGTTCCCTTATATCCTGTGGCCGCTCAACAGTTGGATCACACCTCTCACACTATATTGGACATGGAGCTCACACAATATCCTGAGCTGGTAGGACCTTTCACTCCTCAAGAGGGTGTCAGAGAGGCTCTGAGAGAAAGCATGGAGAAATTCATGAAACCATTTACAACTCCCACTGAGCCAGTCACGGCTCCAAGCACCGTGGTCCAGCAGCAGCAAACAAGAGCTCGGGACAAGAGCCAAACATACAGACAAGTGCCAAATGTACAAATAAAAGCCAAACGTACGAACAAGAGCCAAACATACTGACAAGAGCCATATGTACGAACAAGAGCCAAACATACAGACAAGAGCCATATGTACGAACAAAAGCCAAACGTTCGGACAAGAGCCAAATGTACTGACAAGAGCCATATGTACGGACAAGAGCCATATGTACGAATAAAAGCCAAACATACAAACAAGAGCCAAACATACAGACGAGAGCTTTATGCACGAATAAAAGCCAAACGTTCGGACAAGAGCCAAACGTTCGGACAAGAGCCAAACATACAGACAAGAGCCATGTGTACGAACAAAAGCCAAACGTTCGGACAAGAGCCAAATGTACTGACAAGAGCCAAACGTTCGGACAAGAGCCAAACGTACAGATGAGCCAAACGTTCAGAAAACAGCCAAATGTACTGACAAAGTCAAACTTACGGACAAGAGCCAAACATTCAGACAAGAGCCACACGTTCAGAAAACAGCCAAATGTACTGACAAAGCCAAATGTTTGGACAAGAGCCAAACGTACGGACAAGAGCCATATGTACACAGTGTTCTTAAATGAGACGTCTGGTCCACTGTTCCACATCCAGAACAGAGTCCACATCACTTGTTCAACAATTGGTCTGAGCCTCATGTTTAGCACCCTGAAGTAGACTTTCTTGAGGAAGCTGAGCAGTGTGATACCCCGATAATTGTAGCACACCCCCCGGTCCACTTTTTCAAAAATACGATTCACCACTCTGGTCTGTCAACACATTCTCACTGCGACCTCATCACATGTCCACATTTGGTCATGGACTTTCCATGTCCACATATGACATCCAAGGTACCTTGGGTGTGTTGGTTGTTGATGTTCTGGGAAGCCGTGTCAACTTCACCCTGTTACATGCAATGTCAATTTTCCCCCCTTGAAAGTCGGTGGTTTTTGGACCCATCCACCACCCCTCCCACCCCTGCTTTGACTTTCGCCGCCTTAACTTTCATTGTTGTCCTGCCGCATTTCCTTAAAACACTGCTGGACGCAGTTTAAAAATAATGGTGACTGGCCGTGTAACATGCTGACGGACAGGGGCCTCAGCCAGATGTTCCCTGTTCACCCTCACTACACGTTTGGGTTTACCTGGTCTGTCCAGCAGCCTCCCCACCATCTGATCCAACTCACCACCAGGTGGTGATCAGTTGACAGCTCTGCTACTCTCTTCATCTGAGTGTCCGAGACAAACGTCTGCTGATCTGATGATATGACCATGAAAATCAATCACTGATCTTTGGCCATGGGTGTTCTTGTACCAGGTATACTTATGAGCCTCCCTGTGCTTGAACATGGTGGTCTTTTTGGCTAATCCATGACTTATTGCCCACGTAAACATTGAAGCCCCTTAGAAGAACTACAGAGTCCCTGGTTACCCTTCTAGGACACCACCCAAAGACTCTGAGAAGACCGGGTACTCTGAACTGCTGTTTGGCGCTCCTCTCAGCAACTTGGTAACACAGCGGTGCTCAGCCAGGAGCTTGTGGGTATCCCCACACCTGCCCCTTGTCATAGGCAGTTCTGGAAAAGGTGAGAGTCCAGCACCTCTCCAGGACTTTGGTTAAAGAACCACCACTGTACATATAGGTGAGCCCAACTATAGCTTGTTGGTACTACTCCACCTCCCACACCAGCTTCTGTTCCTTCCCCACCACGTCTGTAAACTTTACCCGACCTCAGTACCCATGCCTTCCATCCAGAGGTGGGTCCACAGGGTGGTGGCTCTGTGTAGAGTGTTTGTGCTGTATCCAGCAGAGCCCCGTTGGTTCAGGCCTGACCACCAGACACTCACTGGTTAGCTCCCCTACTGGTTTCTGGGCAAGGTGCTACAACTGCTTTCTTGCTGATTCATATGGAATCCATGAATTCCTCTCAGTCTGGCCCCGCCCCTTTTTAAACTAGATTATTGATAACTGATGGTTATGGTAAAACCTTGGCGTCAGTACAACGGTGTACGAACACATGTCTCTGTCTCCGTGTGTCCTCAGATCATGTTGAACTCTCTCCATAAGTACGAGCCACAGCTCCACATCGTGTGTGTCGGCTCACGTCATCGTCTCGTCTCCAATGTGTCCTTCAAGGAGACGCAGTTCATTGCCGTCACCGCCTACCAGAACGAAGAGGTACTCACACACATACTGTACATACACACGTACAAGTACACACACGTACAAGTATATACTAAATTCTTCAAGGATTAACTGATCAGAATTTGGTGGAGTTAAATTTCATTCAATTTCATTAAAAATTTTGATCAAATGTTACTCCGAGGTTTCTTACGGTAGTGCTAGTGCCAGAGCAATGCCATCTAGAGAAACTATGTCATCAGATAAAGAGTCTTTGAGTTGTTTGGGACCAAGAACAATAACTTCAGTTTTGTCTGAATTTAACATCAGGAAATTGGTGCTCATCCAAGTTTTTATGTCTTTAAGGCAATTATGAAGTTTAGTTAAAGCAGCTGTGCAGAACTTTTTACCATTAATAAAACTGTCCCTAGTTCGTTTCACCCCCCCTTGAAGATCCGCATATTTATTTGAACCCAACAGCGACAAAAAAGCCTTTCTCTATATGGCTATTTAGTGTAGCCTCGCTCGGGTCGGACCCACAGCGGAAGTCAGCAAACCAGAATACGGCACCCGAGGCAGAAGTGATTATGCTCGCCCGCAGCAGCCCGCAGCGATTAAACCACAGAAGAAGGAGCCGTGTTTACAGTGTTCTTTGAGTAAGCAGTACGCAGCGGGCATTGCTGAACACGTAACACCTAACAGTTTTACCAGATGTATCTATGAGGACTTGGTTGTAATTTTGATGTCATGGAGGATGACGCAGGAGCATCATGTAAAATGATCTGTGACTGTGACCATGAACACAAATATACAGCAGGCAGTTGTCCTCAGATTATAAGAAATTCAGAGCTACACCAGAACATTTATGAACAGGTCTTACATTACTACTAATTTGTGTGTAACGTTAGCATGTTAGCATGTTTCCACTAATTACTTGGACTGACCTAACGTTAGTAGCGTTAGCTTTGCAAGCGAAGGCTGCAGGTAACAGCTTTGCTGTGTTAGGATTATGTTATGTCTTCACTGTGTATCTTCACATAAAAGAATACTCCGACGATTTGGGAGTTATGCCCTTTCTCTATCATTTTCATATTGAGACAACATGATCGATATCTTTTTTGTGTCTGTACGTCCAGTGGCTGGGTCTCAGCGGTTAGCATTGC